GCCTTGAGGAACGAAAGGACTTCGTGCGCGGAAAAAGGCCCCAGACTGCTTCACCCCACATCCTCCGCCTCTGATTGGCTGATTTATTTCCTCTTTCGGAATAAAAGATCCGTGTGATTGGTCGCCGACCCTTCCGTCCCTCCCTCATCATTGGTCGCTGCCGCCTTCTCTTGCCCCTCTCATGCCTTGCCCTGTTTCCCCCCCGTTTATACTCCTGTTTACCCCCTTGCCAATGCCAATGCCAACCTTTCCTTTCGTCCGCCGGTTTTCTTATTGTGTCTAAAACTTGCGTCTTTTGTCTTTGCCCTTTTCGTTCATGCCTCTGCGGGTTCTTCCTTCAAGTCTAAAGTCGCCCCTCGTTGATCGCTGCTGCCCAGTGCCCTTGTCTTCTTGCCCGCCGGCGCCCTCATCGTCTTCTCCCCTCGTCTCACCTGACAACTCTCCTTGACTCTTCAGCGTCGCCATCCGACCGACGCAAAGCTTCCTCGACAGTCCTCTCGCTTAGCACCTCCAGCCTGGCCTGCGCGGCGGTCATCTCTTCGGGGACTCGGTTGCCCAAAGTCTCTCTCCGCACCTTGGACACGAGCGTGATGCCGTCTGGCGTTCGACAGCGCGATAGCTGCACATATAAGCTGTACGGGTCGCATTGCGAGGCACGGCCCTTCCATCGACTTTCGTCGTCCGTGTCCCCCAGGCTCCAGGGCCACGCGCTCTGGCGTTCTGCCCTGCACCTTGTAGTCCGTGCAGGCCAGGCTGCTGCGCACGGCAATCCCTTCCGGCTGACGTCGTTCTGCTGCCACGGCCGCTTTCGTTGGCAGTGTATCCTGACGCTCATCGGCGTTAACAAGATCGTGCCCGGCGGCATCCCGACGAAGTGGAGGTCCTTTGTCGTCGCCGATTCCAGTAATATCCGCCGGCGGCCTGAAGTGGATCGTCATGTCGGACGAGATTCGATGCCCTGGGGACGCCTTGTCGACAATGACCTCCACCGCCGAGTAGCCGGCGCCGTTCACCAGCTTCAGCCCCTGATGGGTGTTGTGGTTCACGACGACCGGCATCCCGGCCACGAACATGAAGACGGCCGGCACGGGGATCGCGCTATCGTCGCCTTGATTGAGTACCATGATCGCTTCTTCCTCGGTCGGCAGCTCCTCATTCCACTTGTGCTCGAGATGAAGATGCGCATCGTCGACCGCTGCTGGACCCGGAACGCCAAGCTTGCCTCCATGTTTAGGTTCCACCGATTCCTGTTCAGCGGCGTCACCACGGTGATGCCAGTCTCCCAAGGATCCGCCTGCCCTCGCGGTAGCACCTGAGTTGAGGAGGTCCAGATCCGTGCGGTCCTGCACCCTGCCGGATCCGCTTCAGCAGCCCCTGCAATTCCGGATCACCGGCGGCGCGCATTTGCTCGTTCAACATGACGACCGTCGAATCTTCCACAGCGCGTGCGCTTTGTCGTGCTGGTGCCGCTGCTCGGCCTTGAACGAGTTGTCTACGTCCCACGAGATGGCCGCGCTCGGCAGGACGATCGACCTCTCTGGACCGGCGGAACTGCTGAAAGTCTCCGCAGAAGAGGACGATGGGGATCCCCCGAAATCTTTCTGCGATCCGCGAAGCCGACAGAGTCGCTCGTTTATGGCGTGCAGCGTCCGCGCTCGAGCATGCTCACCTCGTCGATGACAAGCACGTCCTTCTCCTGCCAGTCCATCCGAGACTGGCCGTGGATGAACCGCTCCGCCCGTTTTGTCAGCCGCACCCCGTCAAGGTCCTTGGCTGTGTTCGCGCCGCCCGCCCCTTGGTCTTTAGTGAACCCGCAGGCGGAGGATCGTGATGCCGTTGATCTGCGCCGCGGCAGTCCCTGACGTCGCCGTGATCAGCAGACGATTCGAAAGGCTCTTCCCACTGAACAGCTCGACGAGTGCCCCAATGATCCGCGACTTGCCGGTGCCCCTCGCCGCCGACGAACTGGCAGAGCTGGCCGGCATCGCCCCTATTCGTTTGTCGCATCAAATCGAGCTGGCGGCATATTATTAGGAAAGCGATCGACTGCCTCTTGTTCAGCGTTAGCCGTGTTGACAACTCCTTGCCCGCCGCGAAGAAGGAGGTCGATGGGCCAAGCTGGACGCGCATTCCCGCTTCTGCGTCGCTAGCCGTCTCGTCGGAGTCGGCTGTCGTCATTTCGACGTCGTCCTCCCGAAGCCGGTCATCACCCTCCGCAACGCAGCTCGGCGATCGCTTTCCCGGACTGCGACTGTGGTTTGTACGCCTTGGATCATTCTCTCCTTTCCCTCGACGCACTTATCTGCTGCGACTTGATAGCCTTGACCTGATCCTGCGGCGGTAGTGCGGCCCCGGAAAATACCCGCCCTGGCATGCTTATGCACCTCAACCCTTGTTCGGGAATCGCGATGGCCTCGAGCTCGGCCGTTGAGCAGAGCGCCGATTGCTGGAATCGACAGAGCTGCCGCATCATTGCCATGAGCTCCGGCGACTTGGCCGTCACCTGATTCGTGCCCACTGCGCCTCGGACGACGTCGATCAGGCGCGTTGCGTCTCCGATGTTGTTGGACCGATACGTCGCTGCAAATTCTGCGCCCGCCTCGCCTGTCTCGCCCTCCTCGACGTGGGCGACCGTGGAATCGCCATCGCCGGATGAGGCCGCCCATTGCTTGGCGTCGCGCTTTGCGTCTTCGGCTGATCGTCGAAGCAGCTGCACGTTGTCGACGAGACATGATATTCTCGGGCCAGCGCCTCTCGCGCCCGCTCCCAGATGCTATTGATCTCACCTGTTTCTTCGCACAGAAAGGACTCCCGGCACAAATAGCGCAAGATGCTGCACGGCTGCCCTTTAAGGGGAGGGGAGGTTAGCCACTCTGATGATGCCTGCCGGCAGGGCGGTTGCTATACACCTCCGGTGGCACTCATCGTCGTCGTTGTGGCCGAAGTCCTTGCTCAGGTAGCCATCGAGGCAGACGGTAGCATGCTTGCCCGGCCGCCTGAGCACCTGGACCCAGCGTCTCCTGGCGCCCATCCATCCTCGAAGGGCACTCCCCAGGCCGCACAGCTCTCATCCTTACTGGTGCGTTTTAGTCTAACGACCGATATGTAGTCGTATAAGCATAGCCTCGCAGGAGCTCTCCCGGTGCTGGTACGCCTCAACGTGGGAGATCCTCAGGCCTGCTTCTTCGACAACGACCGACTCATCCAGAGTATCATCTATGGCCGCCGCGCCACTTGCTCGTCGGAGATACGGCCACCGTCGAAAGACTTCCAGTACAGCAGAGATGTGTTCAGGTACGCCCAGGCGCTGCTGTTGGTGAACTCGGCCGGATATCCAAGAAGATGAGCGACGACCTCGACCTGAGATAGCGGACGCTCCGTGAACACACGATTCGCCACCCTCATCAAGAACTGTCGCGTCCTGTTCCCCTGGCGGCGTCATCGCCAACAGCACCTCCACCGTCGTCCTGTCCTCCGTTGGCCGTGCCGTCACCCGTTGAGGCGGCCAGGAGATCGGCCGCGGCCGCCACACGCTTCCACACCGGGTCCTCCACCTTCGTCGCGTAGTTCGTGACATAATACATAAGGGCCATGGTCTTGCGCTGCGTCGCAATGAAGGAAATGTCGTGGTTGTGCCGGAGCCCAACAGCGATAGCCTTGTTCCATCGATTGACCATGCTGTGAGTCCTCCGGATCTGCAACACCCGTCTGCCGTGATGGCGGTCTTGTCGACCAACCTCCATGGAGACTTAAACCGGCATAGATTCCCTTTCCGCGCTCCTTTGCCCAAGGAATACTTGACACAGGTCGGGCTATGCGTGAACCTGTGTAGCGCCGGCACAGAAGTTGGCCTCCTCGTCAAATGCGGCCGAAAACTGCTCGGTGTTGTCCAGCAGGGAGGAAATATCGGACGTCACAGATCGCTCCGCTTGCACGGCGCAGAACCCTTCCTGATCCAGATCCTATCTTGCACGTCAGCCTGGCCCCGTTTGTCCATCGGACGAGCAATTCAGGTTCTCAGTGACACGTCTTAGCTATTCTTACCTCGGAGAAGACACTATCGACGTATCGTATGATTCGCTCGCGATACGCCGCCTGATCCTCCCGTGGATGTCGGCAAGCATCGAGCTGAGATGCGCGTTTCCGTGCAACCAGAGCAAGCCGTGAACATGAAGCGCCCTCGTTCGTTGGTCTCCACAGCGCCATAGTACTTGCCGATGCGCCTGAATACCGACTCTTCTCCGACCTTCACGTAATGATCGAAGAACAGCTTCATCTCCCGGTGGAAGAATACGGCGGCGCTCATCGGATCGGACATGGCCAGCCTTGTCCGCTTGTACGCACTCCCAAGGCCTTCTAGGAACTCCTCGGCCGCGCCGGGATCGCGTGTCCGATATGCCGCCAGTCGCAGCTTCACCGGGTTCGTAATGTCGTTTGGGTTGATGGTGAACCAGATGGCCGGAACGCCGTAGCCAACGATGAGCGACTGGATTTTCCGCCGCATATTGAGCCGAACCTCTCGACATGGGTTGCCGGTGGCCGTACAGCGATAGGCTCCTGAGAAGCTCCTTCACGCCCTCATCGGTCGTCTTGCCCGAGCTCTCCAACTCGACCTCGCCGCCGCTAACCTTTGCGCGGTCATCGAGCGGGCAACGCGCTCGACCTTGCCGAAGTCCTTCCTCGCCACACTCAGCATGCTGACGCGGCGGTTCCTCGACCGCACCCCATGTTGAAGACGAGAAATGCAAATATGTGTGCAACGCAAACCGGCCACCATGGCGCCGGAGCACGATGTCGGCCCAAATCGGAGGTTCAAGCTTCGGGATACGATGTCTCCGCTGCCGCCCCTGCCTCAGCAGCTCTACCGGTGCCTCGCGTTGGTAAGGGCCTTCCTGCCTCGGCTATGGCCTCTTCGGCCAGCCTTGGTCCCCAACGCCAAATGGGAACAGGGTCGGGAACGTTCTGGCGAAGAAGGACGTCTCAAAGGAGTCGGCAAACTCATCCCCGCGAGACTCGAATGTATGGCTCACTGCCATCGTCGCCACGCCCTCGACCCCACCGAGGATCCGACCCACGTTCCCGGCGCGCGGCCGTCGTCGGCACCTGCGCCAACAGCGTCACAGGCAAACCGCAGCTTCTCGACATCCGCCACGTCTGGCGGTCCGTCCAGCCCAAACATGCCGGAAGACGTCACCTCGTTGATTGGTCGAACGTTCTGATCGGGGCTAGCACCAACTCCATCACGACCCGCGCCTTCTTCGTTGGGCCCGTGCCCTTCAGCCTCGCCTCCCGTTTCCTGCCTTTGGTTGAGCAGAGCGAAGAGTTCCTCGATCTCCACCGACCCTCGTCGTCCATGGCGCGCTCCGTGGGCGGCACAACGCGCCGTCCGCGTTTTCTCCCATGCGGACGGCTCGTTCCGCTCCATGCGATCATACACCAAGGCCGGCACCCTGTCTATCGGGTCTCCCCAACTCTCCATCTCCGCCACGTCGATCTCGATCTCGGCGTAGTGGGGGTTGCTCCTCTTCAGCCAAACAAGAGCCCTCTCGACGACCCGCCGCCTCACCGACAAGAGACTCGACAGGTCGCTCGGTGCCGGCTTCTCCACGCCCTGCCACGAAACGTGGATCTCGTCCAGTGCTTGCAAAGGGTGCGGGAGCACCTGGTCGCCAGCTCCTGCACGTTGTTGGGAACACTGTGATGTGGCCCTTGACGTGCCTCGATACCTCACGGCCTGCCTCTGCCCGCCCGGAATGCTATATCTCGTGACAAACCCATAGCAGGAGTTGAGCGAGACGAGCTCTTCGACCAGCGTGAGTCCCTTGAGCTCGTCAGGAACATGTGCTCACAGCCAAGGCGAGTGTGAAGATGGACCGCCGGCGACAGACTCCGCGCGCCAGGCATCGGGCACACTCCGCACACACCGACACGGGCTCGCCTTCGGGAAAGCAGCTCCGGCATGAAAATGGTGAGCGGCCGCCCTCTGGCACGCAGCTTGACAGCCATTGATCCCATCTGATCTCCTCAGCTCTTTTCTCGTACGCTTGCGGTAGCACATCATGCAGGTCCGTATCGGCAACGTGCTCGCATCGTGGAACGCCTGATAAAAATCCGCACCGTCGACACCTTCCTGTCGTGCGGTATTGGCGTACACCACGTCTGATCGTTAGACAGCCTCCTTCATGGCGAAGTCTTCTCCAAAAACGCAGCACACTCGCCAGGTCTTCGGCCCGCAGCTCCTGACTCCTCTGCCTTCCGATTCCACCGAATCTGTTTTCTCGGGCGCTCGTCCGACCAGGAAGACGTTTTCTCTCTCCCGCCTCCGCCGCCTCCGGGGCCGCCTCCGATCCATGATTTCTTCTCTCCGTGGCTGATTCGCTTCTTCGCAAGCCGTCGGATGCGGCAGCTTTGGCGACGACTGCCCGACTACGTGCGCATCCCCGACACGCCATCCGGCCCTTTGCACTGACAGGCACCGGGCCGTGCTGGCGAACGTTTTCCACGCCGAACCTTGACCTCAGTCCTTGCCCTTTCCAGCACTCTCCTCGTTCTTGCTGCCGATCAAACTGCACGGGCTCCCAGCCGCCACCCGCGATGAGCCGCCCACCTCCTTTGCTGCAGCCTCCGCCCGCTCAGCGAAGCGTCCGCTGGCTCTGCCGCGGCGTCGCCCACCCCACAGGAGACGGCCCCGGATGCTGCGCCGTACCTGCTGCGTTGAGACACCCCTGCGGCCTGGTACTCCCTTTACCCGCCAACTCCGTCCCCGACGGCGCTTGGGCAAACCAGACGCAATCGCTGCTGCTAATTGCCCGTTTTCTTGTTGTCGAATACCGGTTCCTAGGCTGGATGGATCGAAGCTTCGGTACCTCCTTCGAATGAACACTGGGACATCGCCCGCCGCCGCCGTAACACGTTGCTCCTCATCTTCAGGATCTCCTCCTGAGGCAGAAAGTGCCGATGAGGAGCGGACGATCAGAGTCCGCTACCCCATATCTCCACGTTCCCTAGGCAACAGGGGCCTCGGAAGCTGACCCGGTGACTGATGTTGCGCGGAACTTCCGCTGCTAACCATATTATGGAACTTCCGTGCTCTGTTTGACCGCAAACCGCCTCGCGGCGGTCTTCTCGGCAACGACCTCGCAATTGCTTCTGCGTGCTGTCTCCATGCGGTGTCTTCAACCACAGGTTTCTAGGCTGAATCGGCCGGAACGTTGATGCCGCATTCGCCCGTGATTCGTATCTTCGTAACCGTCCCAGGCTCTCCCCGTGCTCTGCGGCCCTCTCAGAAGCTGCCACCACATCTACACCGGCTCCTGTCGCACCATCTCCGAGCCCCGAACCCGACCCGCTCACGTTCTCACCCTCTTCTCCATCCCCGACTGACAACGAACAGGCTTCAGGGTGAGCAACCGCCTCGCTTAACTTCACTGCAGGACTGTCCGCCATGCTGCTGCCTCTCGACGTCGACTGCCGTAAATTGGCAACAGGCTATAAAGCTTTGGCTCGGAGCACCTCCACTTGGACAGTCTCGCTTGTTGACGACGCTATCTCCCGAATGGGAAGCTCCCTAACCATCACTTCCTCATGGCCGTGGCGTTTCTTCCTTATAGCTTCCTATAAAATGCTTCCCTATGGTACCGAGGCGATGCAATACTACCCTCTATATTCCCGTTACCATGCCTATCTATGTGCGTCCACCGTCCCGGCCTCGCCTGGTCTCCACGTGCGACCTGCTACCCGGCTTTGCCAAAAGCGACCCTTCCATCGCCGTGCTCTCTTTGCGCACTCCAGCGAATCCCTGGCCACTGCCGACCTCCGGCACATGGAGATGGCCGCGACAACCGCCTGCCGCACACTTCAAACCATACTCTTCAGCCCTTCCAACACCATCCTACCAACCTTGCGCATCAGTTCACCATCAATACCCGCCAATCCGCCTCGTCGAGCAACAGCCACAAGGCTGCCGGCGATAACATGTCCATGACGTCCTCATGCAGCCGGACTACCTTCTAGATTTGCTCCTCGCCAGCACCAATGTCGCATCAACGGCCTTAATGCTAAAGCGATAGCCAGGACCCCCTGCCTGTCCTCTTGTAGTCGCTAGCCACCGGAGTCTCGACTTGCAAACCCTCTTGAAAGTTCTCGTGACCAACTCGCATCCTCCTCCTCAGGTCGACCCATATATCCGACTTCACCGTGTCCCAATAGTAGACTCGACACGGTCGGCACCCGCCTCGCTCAGCCGCACGCAATGCCCATCCAACTACCGACGACCGTCAAAAGGGAGTCCTGCAATACTACCATAACCTCTTTCTTTCCTTCACTCTCATTCGTTATTGCCCCCTTTGCTATCTACTCCATGCAACGATGACACCGAAGGGGACTACTGGACTTTCTTTCTCCGCAGTCTTACCCACACTAACCTTACCGTTCGCCGACCTCCAACTTCTCGCAACATAGCCATCACCCCTACTCAACTTCCAACCCCGGCTCCTACTTCACTCACGACCACAGAACCAGATGGTCGAGACTGCTCGAGAACCTCGCCAGCTCATTCCCGCATACCCCCGCTTCTGATCTATCACCTAGGTAGCATTCACTGACTCTCAAGTCTCCCCGACCCGAGCCACGAGCTCTTTCGAGCAGCAAGAAAACCTGCTTTATAGGATGCCTACCTCTCTCTGCCTAACCCCTCCTTTACACTTCCACGGTGACCACATCTGCCATGTTCTCACGATGTCGGCCTCCCAGCTCAACGTCGATACCTCGTCCTCCCGCGGCAACCTCTGACAGCCAGAAAATGCTGGCGCCGACATGTCCATGATGGCCTTTGTCCAGCCCGGCTGCCCGTCTAGGTTCGCCTACCAGAATGAGCATCGTGTCAAAGGGCTCAACGCAGAAACCCTAGCGAGGGTCTTCCTTCCAACGCCCTCATGGCTGTCGACTCCAGAGTATGCAGCAATCCGGTCAGATCCTGACAATCCATCGACCTGCATCTTCTTGAGCCTTAATATTTCCATATACAACCAACAGATAATCCCTCGGAATGGACCGAGCAGTGGTTCTTATGGTCGGCCGTGTTCATCCCTTTGCCCTGACGGGAAATCGAGCGACGTGATAGCTTGAGTCGGAGGATGACAACATTACAGAATACACCATCCCGGCTCTCATCGTCCGCGACCACAGCTACCAGCCGTAGGTGTATGCTCCAGACCTCCGTCACCACTACCATCTCTGACGATGGCCACAGAGTCATCCTCGCACCTCGGCTCGGCGGATGCCTTCCCAGCGATACAACCCATTGTCTCCTTCACGGGACCTGTCATCGGTTCCGGCCGCGACCTTCTGCATGGAAACTCGGCTGCGGCCCTTGACGACACCCAGCTGAGCTGTTGCGGCTTTGTCCAGCTCTCGACCTTTATCTGTCCTGGGATTCCGGGCAAAACACCCTTCAAGGGCTTTCATCCCTTTCAACTTTTCGTCATCTTCCCCATTCACGCCAATCCTTGAACCTCCCTATGCAAGAAGATGACCGAGAGGCGCGATAGCCAGTTCCAGCCGAACGCTCTCTCACCTGCACGGGCAAAATCGCCGGCTTACTGATCACCAGATCATGACACATGCCCCGGCCTTCGAGCAAGACTATATCTTCATCGTCGTCCCCGATACATGGACTTTCCTTGACAGGGCCATGTCCAACCAGGCTTCTGCGACACAGCTACTGCCGACGACACCCAAGGGCTCAGTCGGCAACCCTCGGACTATAGCGATGCGTTGGCCAGGTTTACCTCTACCAAAAACGCAATGCCGCCCCAAGCGGCGCCTCCCACGCCGCCTGCATCTAGGTCAGTCGATCCCCTTATGATGACATCAAAGCGGTCATTGCCCGATCCCGACCAAACCCCAACCAAGAGACCGCGACTTTCTCCAGAAATTTCCACCATAGTCGCCGCCTGTGATAGTCGAGGCCCCGCCAAATCCGACACTTCCTCCCTTCTGTCCCACGAAGACCCCGGAGACTCAGAGACGGACACCGAGCCAGTCAATCACCCAGCCACATCCGCCTCTGGCCCTATCAGACCTCCGGCGTCAATCTCTTCCCGACCCCACCGCGCCCGACATCCGCCCAAGAATATTCTGTAAAGCAACGAACGAAACAACACAACATGACAAGGAACATGTTTCATCATCCTCAAACTCAAGTGCGAAAGGCCCTAATGGGATATTTCCTTCTCCTCTTGCTCTCCTTTTCACAAAGACAATCCAGTCAAAACTTCTCCAATATACTCCTTATTCTGTTTATATCCACCACTTATAGCACCTGTAAATCCTCAGAGCCTTCCACTCGCCCACACATGCATTACCCACCCAACTCTCTTCACCCCTGCCGCCTCTCCACGCCCTTTGCGCCTTTGCAAAGCAAAATCTCCCTTGCAGCCTAGGCTGCCTCTCTGACGCTCTGTCTCGATTTCACTCACGATAATGCTCTACGTCTCTCGCCGGATCTCCATCTCATATCTCTTATCTCACTCTTCTTCCTGTCTTCCTCTCACTTCCCTGTCTCCTATCTCCTGTCGCCAACTCTCTCCTCTCCTGACTTTCTCCTGTCGCCATCGCCAACTTTCGTTCCGAAAGGCCTCTTTGCGCGAGCCGCGGCTGAGCCTTCCCTCGTACATTAATCAGAATAAGTGCCTTGAGGAACGAAAGGCCTTCTAACGTGCCCCGCTGACCCCGCCTCTCCCCAAAAGTTCTCCGCCCCTTGATTGGTCCCTTGTGATTGGTCCTCCTTGCCTCCCTCCTCGTTGGTCGCTGCCCTTCCCCGGCTTCTGTTGCCTTTTCGCGTGCCTTATCCCACCACTAGGCGCCTCCCACCCTGTCTGCCGCCTGCCGACTCTTCCCGCCTGCCGAACTCTTCATCGCGTCACCCAGCGCGGCCGCCTTCACTCTTCAGCATCACCGTCCAGCCAGCGCAACGCCTCCTCAACGGTCCTCTCGCTCAGTACCGAGCCTGGCCTGTGCGGCAGTCATCTCCTCGGGGACCCGGTTGCCCACCAAGTCTGTCCCACCTTGGACACGAGCATGATGCCGTCTAGAGTTCGGCAGCGCGATAGCTGCACGTACAGGCCGTACGGGTCGCACTGCGAGGGCACCACCGTTCCATCCATTCGTCGTCCGTGTCCTCGCAGCTCGAGGGCCACGCGCTCCAGCGTTTTGCCCTGCACCTTGTAGTCCGTGCACGCGAACGCTGCTGCGCACGGCAAACCTTCGGCTGACGTCGTTGCGTTGCCACGGCCTTTTCGCTGGCACTGTATCTTAACGGTCATGGTGTCAACAAGATCGTGCCCGGCGGCATCCCGACGAAGTGGAGATATCTCGTCGTCTCCGATTCGAGAATGATCCCGCCGGCGGCCGAAGTGGATCGTCATATCGGCCGAGATCCGATGCCCCGGGTACGCCTTGTCGACAATGACCTCCAGGAGGACACGCAGAGAACCGAGGCTTCATTGGTACCCAAGATCACCTTTGCAAATACCAAGAAAACGGCCAGCTAGGCATTGAGGGGCCTCATCATGGAGACGCCGGCTGAGGCCGTGATCATGGTGGGGCGAAGCGCGTCGCCTGCGTCGACACCCGCGAAAAGATCGACACGCGTCGTGAGGCTGCACCGTTCGAGAAGCCGCGCGACAGCCCGACGATCTGGCGGAGAAGACAACACGCGCAACTAGGCTTGCAACGCGCATTGCCTCGGACGATGTCGCCATCAGTGACGCGACTGAGCGGCGCAGTTGCCAGCAGCAGTGGCGCGAACGAAGGCCGAGCCATGCCCAGAAAGTTCTCGAACTCTTGAGCGAGTCACGTCAAGAAACGCAAAGCTCAGCCGAGCGATAGATGCGCAAAACGAGATCATATCCAAGCAACAGCAGATGATCCAGGAAATGGATCAACGGAAAGAGATGAGAGATGAGCTTCGTCACATCCGAGCGCAGTTAGAGACCCTGGCTACGCCTGCATCTTCTCTGCAGAGCAGTCCGCAGATGTCGTATGCGAGCGCTGCAGGGTCATCGCCGACGATCCAGACAATGAACCGGGGCACCGTACCAGCAGCTAAATCGGCACGAACAGCCGTCAGCGATAGTCTCTACTGTACGGTGGACATCACGAGTCGAAGAAGCGGTGCCAGACGCAGATCGGCAACATCCGAAAGGCCAGAGAGCGACATGAGAAAGAGTCAGAGGCAGGAGACTTGGAATGCGCAGCGGTCGTGACAGACGCTGAAACCCCGACCGGATCAAAATTTTGCAGAGACCAAACCGAGTTGAAGCAGGTCAAGAAGCAGCGCAGAAGACGGTAACTTCGGGAGCCAGGGTACTGAGAGATCAGCTTTACCCTGTCAAAGTCGACAACACCAAGCGTACTGCAGTGCTGACGCCGAAGGCAACGTTCTGCCGGGCGCAGCTGAGGCGCTCGGAGCCGAGAATTACGTCACGATTGCCAAGATCACCTGGCTTAGCAACAGAGAGAAAGCCAGCGTACGGGTCATGGTGATCTATGTCACTAAAGAGAGTGACGCGCAAAGACTTCTGGACGGCGTGTGGTTCGATGTTGCGGAGAGTCCGCCTGCACCAATGTTTTTGAACGCCGCGTAGGACCGATTCAGTGCTTCAACTGTCAAGAGATGGGACACAAGGCGTTTTCATGCAAGAAGCCGCAAAGATGTGGCAGATGCGCGAAAGCAGAACATCACCACAGAGAATGCAAGGAGACAGTGCCAAAGCGTGCCCTGCGGTGGACCACACGAATCGTACAGCCGGAACTGTCGGGCGCGGAACCCTGGGGATGAGACGCAGGCAGCGTCTGGCCCTTCGGACTAAGCAGCGGAAGTGAGAATCCACTTAGGATCGATTATGGCACTAACCTTCAACAATACTAACACACAGGTATTCGACTTCGATTTCGACAGACCGCGCTTCAGCTGCTGAAGGTAGGACGCTGAACACTTGAGAAATTGGCCTTCAAGCAGCCTGTCACGGAGAGAGTAGCGGCGAGGTTGGTGTAGCGTATGCTGACCCGTGGGGCTTAAGGTGTTACGCATTAATGTATTGAAATGTCAGTAGCTTTTACGTCTAGGCCCTATAGGAAATCTCCGGTGAAATACACATACATACATACAATGACCTCCACCGCCGAGTAGCTCGCGCCGTTCACTAGCTTCAGCCCTGGTGGGTGTTGTGGTTCACGACGATGGGCATCCCGGCCACGAACATGAAGACGGCCGGCACCGGGATCGCGCTATCGTCGCCCTGGTTGAGTATCATGATCGCCTCTTCCTCCGTCGGCAGCTCCTCCTTCCACTTGTGCTCGGAGATGAAAATGCGCATCGTCGACCGCTGCTGGACCCGGAACGCCAGGCTCGCCTCCATGTTCAGGTTCCACCGATTCCTATTGAGCGGCGTCACCACGGTGATGCCCGTCTCCCAAGGATCCGCCTTCCTCCCGGTAGCACCTTGAGTTGAGGAGGTTTAGATCCGTCCGATCCTGCACGCCTAGACGGATCCGCTTCAGCAGCCTCTGCAGCTCCGGGTCGCCGGCGGCGCGCATCTGCTCGTCCAGCATGACGACCGTCGTGAACCTCTTCCACAGTGCGTGCGCTTTGTCGTGCTGGTGACGCTGCTCGGCCTTGAACGAGTTGTCTACGTCCCACGAGATGGCCGCGCTAGGCAGGACGATCGACCTCTTGACCGGCCGGAACTGCTGAAAATCTCCGCAGAAGAGGACGATGGGGATCCCCCCGAAATCTTGCCGCGATCCGCGAAGCCGGCGAAGCCGCTCGTTCACGGCGTGCAGCGTCCGCGCCCCGAGCATGCTCACCTCGTCGATGACGAGCACATCCTTCTCCTGCCAATCCATTCGAGACTGGCCGTGGATGAACCGCTCCGCCTGTTTCGGCAGCCGCACCCCGTCAAGGTCTTTGACCATGTTCGCGCCCCGCCCCTTGGTCTTTAGTGAACCCGCAGGCGGAGTGGATCGTGATGCCGTTGATCCGCGCCGCCGCAGTCCCCGACGTCGCCGTGATCAGCAGACGATTCGAAAGGCTCTTTTACTGAACAGCTCGACGAGTGCCTCGATGATTCGCGACTTGCCGGTACCGCCTCGCCACCAACGAACTGGCGCAGCTGGCAGGCATCGCCCCGTCGGTCTGCTGCATCAAATCGAGCTGGCGGCATATTATCAGAAAAGCGATGGACTGCCTCTTGTTCAGCGTCAGCCGTGTTGCCAACACCTTGCCCGCCGCGAGGGAGGAGGTTGATGGGCCAAACTGAACGTCCATTCCCGCCCCTGCGTCGATAGCGGTCTCGTCGGAGTCGGCCATCGTCATTTCGACCTCGTCCTCCCGAAACCGGTCATCACCTTCGCAACGCTGCGCGGCGATCGCTTTCCCAGGCGGCGGGCGTGCTTTGTATCCCTTGGATCATCCTCTCCTCTCCTTCGAGGCACTTACCTGCTGCGACTTGATAGCCTTGACCTGATCCTGCGGCGGTAGTGCGGCCCCGGAAAATACCCGCCCTGGCATGCTTAACCGCCTCTCCTCGTTCGATCAGCGCCGTGGCCTCGAGCTCGGCCGTCGAGCGCAGCGCCGATTGCTGAAACCGACAGAGCTGCTGTATCATTGCCATGAGCTCCGGCGACTTGGCCGTCACCTGATTCGCTCCCACTGCACCTCGGACGACGTCGATGAGCCGCGTTGCGTCTCCGATGCTGTTGGGCTGATATGTCGCTGCAGACTCCGCGCCCGCCTCGCCTGCTCCACCCTCCTCGACGTGTGCGACCGTCGGGTCGCCATCGCCGGACGAGGCTGCCCATTGCTTGGCGTCGCGTTTTGCGTCTTCGGCGGATCGTCGAAGCAGCTGCACGTTGTCGACGAGACGTGATATTCTCGGGGCCATAGCGTCTCGAGCCCGCGCCCAGATGCTGTTGATCTCACCTGTTCCTTCGCCCAGGAAGGACTCCACGGCACGAACAGCGCAAGATGCTGCACGGCTGCCCTTCAGGGGTGGGTTAGCCTCCGATAATGCCCGCTGACAGAGCAGTTGCCATACACACCTCCGGTAGCACGACTCGTCATCGTAGGTGAAGTCCTTGCTCAGGTAGCCGTCGAGGCAGGCGGTAGCGTGCTTGCCCGGCCGCCTGAGCACCTGAACCCAGCGTCGTCCCGGCGCCCATCCATCCTCGAAAGACATCTCCCTGCCGCCCAGCTCTCGTCGTTGCCGATGCGTTTCAGTCTGACGATCGATATGTAGTCATACAGGCATAGGCCTTTCAGCAGCTCTCCCGGTGCTGGTACGCCTCGACGGGAGATTCTCAGGCCTTCTTCTTCGACGACGACCGACTCATCCAAGGTGTCATCCGTAGCCGCAGCGCCACTGGCTTCTCGGAGATGCCGCCATCGCCGAAAGACTTCCCAGTACAGCAGAGAACAGTTCAGGTACGCCCACGCGCTGCTGTCGGTGAACTCGGCCGGATATCCGAGAAGGTGAGCGACGACTCGACCTGTGATAGCGGACGCTCCGTGAACACGCGGTTCGCCACTCTCATCAGGAACTGTCGCGTCCTGTTCCCTTGACAGGGTCATCGGTGGCAGCGTTCCGCCACCGTCCCGCCCTCCGTTGGCCGTGCCATCACCTGTTGAGGCGGCCAGGAGCTCGGCCGCGGCCGCCACACGCTTCCACACCGGGTCCTCCACCTTGGTCGCGTAGTTCGTGACATAATAGATGAGGGCCATTGTCTTGCGCTGCGTCGCAATGAAGGAAATATCATGGTTGTGCCGGAGCCCGACAGCAATAGCCTCGTTCCATCGATTGACCATGCTGTGTGTCCTCCGGATCTGCAGCACCCCGTCTGCCGTGAGGGCGGTCTTGTCGACTAACCTCCATGGCGCCTTGAACCGGCAGAGGTCCCCTTCCGCCCTCCTTGCCCAAGGAGTACTTCACACAGGTCGGGCTATGCGTGTGCACCTGCGTCGCGCCGGCACAGAAGTTGGCCTCCTCGATAAACGCGGCCGAGAACTGCGCGGCGTTGTCCAGCAGGGAACCAATACCGCCCGTCACAGATCTCCCGCTTGCACGGCGCAAAACTTTCCTGGTCCAGATCCTGCCTTGCACGTCAACCCGGCCCCACTTGGCCATCAGAAGAGTACTTCAGGCTCCCGGTGGCACATCTTAGGTAGGCATTCTTACCTCTGAGAAGACGCTATCGATGTATCGGACGATTCGCTCGCGATACGCCGCCTGATCCTCCCCGTGGATGTCGGCAAGCATCGAGCTGAGATGCGCGTTCCCGTGCAGCCAGAGCAAGCCGTGAACATGAAGCGCCCTCGTTCGTTCGTCTCCACGGCGCCATAGTACTTGCCGATGCGCCCGAATACCGACTCTTCACCGACCTTCACGTAATGATCGAAGAACAGCTTCATCTCGCGGTGGAAGAACACGGCCGAGCTCATGGGATCCGATATCGCCAGCCGTGCCCGCTTATACGCATCCCCAAGGCCTTCTAAGAACTCCTCGGCCGCGTCGGGATCGCGTGTGCGGTATGCCGCCAGTCGCAGCTTCACCGGGTTCGTAATGTCGTTCGGGTTGATGGTGAACCAGATGGCCGGCACGCCATATCCGACGATGAGCGACTGGATTTTCCGCCGCATATTGAGACGGACCTCTCTCGACATGGGCTGCCGGTGGCCGTAAAGCGAGAGGCTCCTGAGAAGCTCCTTCACGTCACCATCGGTCGTCTTACCCGAGCTCTCCAACTCGACCTTGTCCGCCGCTAGCCTTTCTGTGGTCATCGAACGCACGATGCGCTCTACCTTGCGGAAGTTCTTCCTCCCACACTCAACATGCTGACCCGGCGGTTCCTCGACCGCACCCCATGTTGAAGACGAGAAATGCGAAGATGTGGTGCAGTGCAAATCGACCACCATGGCGCCGGAGCACGATCTCGGCCCACGCCTGAAGGTTCAAGCTTCGAGACGATACGGTCTCCGCGGCCGCCTCTGCCTCGACAGCCCTGCCTCGCAAGTTGGCCGTGACCTTCCCGCGTCGACCATGGTCTCTTCAACCAGCCTTGGTCCCCAACGCCAAATGGGAACAGGGTCGGGAACGTCCTGGCAAAGAAGGACGCCTCAAAGGAATCGGTAAACTCACCCCGCGAAACCCGGATGTATGGCTCACAACCACCGTCGCCACGCCCCCGAACCCCGGCTAGGGACCCGACCCACGCCTGGGCCCGCACGGCCGTCGTCGGCACCTTCACCAACAGCGTCACAGGCAAACTGCAGCTTCTCCACGTCCGCGACGTCTGGCGGTCCGTCGAGCGCGAACATGCCAGAAGACGTCACCTCGTTGATCGCTGGAACGTTCTGGTCGGGGCAGGCGTCACTTCCATCGCGAACCGCGCCTTCTCCGTTGGGCCCGTGACCTTCACCCTGGCCGCCGGCTTCTTGTCCTTGGTTGAGCAGGGCGAAGAGCCTCGATCTCCACCGGCCCTCCTCGTCCATGGCGCGTTCCGTGGGCGGCACAACGTGCGCCGTCCGCGCTTTCTCCCACCCAGACGGCTCGTTCCGCTCCATACGATCGCACACCGACGACGGTACCCCGTGTATCGAGTCTCCCAGCTCTCCATCTCCGCCGCGTCGATCTCGATCTCGGCGTAGTGGGGTTGTTCCGCTTCAGCCAGACAAGGGCCTCTCGACCACCCGCCGCCTCACCGACAAGAGACTCGACAGGTCGCTCGGTGCCGGCTTCTCCGCGCCCTGCCACGAGATGTGGATCTCGTCCAGTGCTTGCAAAAGGGTGCGGGAGCACTTTGTGGCCAGCTCCTGCACATTGTTCGGAAACACCGTGATGTGGCCCTGACATGCCTCGGATACTTCACGCTCTGCCTCTGCCCGCCCGGAATGCTATATCTCGTGTCAAGACCGTAACATGAGTTCAGCGAGATGAGCTTCTCTTCGACCGGCGTCAGTCCCTTGAGCTCATCGGGGAACATGTGCTCGCAGCCAAGGCGACTGTGAAGGTGGATCGCCGGCGACAGGCTCCTGCGCGCCAGGCATCGGCCACACTCGGCGCACACCGACACGGACTCCCCTCAGGAAAGCAACTCCGGCATGAAAATGGTGAGCGGCCGCCCTTTGGTACGCAACTTGACAGTCAATGATCCCATGTAATCTCCCTCAACTCTCCTCTCGTACACTTGCGGTAGCACACCATGCAGGTCCGTATCGGCAACGTGCTCGCATCGTGGAACGCCTGATAGAAGTCTCGCACCGTCGACACCTTCCTCTCGAGCGGTATTGGCGTGCACCACGTCTGATCGTTAGACAATCTCTCCTTCAAGGCAAAGTCTTCCTCCAAAAAGCGCAGCACACTCGCCAGGTCTTCGGCCTGCAGCTCCCGTCTCCTATGCCTTCCGATTCCACTTCGGACCTGTTTTATCGGGCGCCCATCCCGGCTAGGAAGACGGGCTCTCTTCTCCCGCCTCCGGGACTGCCTCTGTCCGCGCAGCGAGCCGTCCGCTGCCTCTGCTGCGCCATCGTCCACACCCACCTGTGTGTGCCCTTGGCCGCCGAACCGGTCCCCGACGGAGCTTGGGCAAACCCCATGCAATCGATGCTGCAAATTGCGCCGTTCGTCTTAGGTCTTGGAAAGTCGTATCCTTGGGCTGGATAGGTCGGAGCGTCGGTCCCTTTTCGAACGAACACCCGGGACACCGCCGGTCGCCGCCTTATCTCCCTGCCCGTCACCTTCAGGACCCTCTCCTGGGGCAAAACGGCCGATGAAGGGGTGGACTGTTAGAGCCCACTGCCCCCTGGTCTCCACGTTCTGTAGGCAACACGAACCTCGGAAGCGGACTCGGTGACTGACGTTGCGCGGAATTTCCGCTGCTGACCAAATTACGGGACTTCCGTGCTCTGCTTGACCGCAAACCGCCTCGCGGCGGTCTTCTCGGCAGTGACTTTGCGATCGCCTCTGCATGCTTTCTCCATGCGGTTTCTTCGACCGCAGACTGCTTAGGCTGAATCAGCCGGAACGTTAATGCTTCATTCGCCACTGATCTGTATCTCCCGAACCGCCCCAACCTTGTCTCCCGTGCTCCGTGCCCTTCTCGGAGTTGCCCTGTATCATCTCCGCACCCCGAAACAGGCACTCCCCGTTCCTACCCTCTTCTCCATCCTCGACTGACAACGAACAGGCTCCACGGTGAGCGGCCGCCTCGCCTAGCTTCCTGCAGGACTGTCCGCCATGCTACTGCCTCCTCGACGTCGACTAGCGTGGATTGGCAACAAGCTAGAAAGTTTTGGCCCGGAGCACTTCCACTTGATAATCTCGCTTCTTGGCGTACACTATTTCTTTCCGAGTGGGCTTCCTAACGATCACTACTCATGGCCGTGGCGTTTCTTCCTTATAATGCTTGCCTATGGTACCGAGGCGATGCAATACTACTACCCTTTGTAATCCCCATTTACCCTCCCTATGTGCGTCCACCGTCCCGGCCCTCGGCTGGTCTCCACGTGCGACCTGCTACCCCAGCTTTGCCAAAGGCGGCCCTTCCATCGCCGTACTCTCTTTGCGCACTCCAGCGAATCCTGGCTACCGCCGACCTCCGGCACATGGGGTGGCCGCGCCGACCGCCCGCCGCACACTTCCAACCATACTCTCCGGCCCTTCCAACGCCGTCCCACCCACCTTGCGCATCAGTTGCTCCATCAATATCTGCCACTCCACCTCGTCGAGCAACAGCCAAAAGGCTGCCGGCGATAACATGTCCACGGTGTCCTCGTGCAACCGGACTACCCGGCTAGGTTTGCTCCTCGCCACCACCAACGTCGCATCAACGGCCTTCATGCTAAAGCGACAGCCAGGATCCCCCTGCCTGTCCTCTTGTAGTCGCTAGCCACCGGAGTTTCGACTTGCAAACCCTCCTGGAGAGTTCTCGTGACCAACTCGCATCCTCCTCCTCAGGTCGTCCCCTATATCCGACTTCACCGTGTCCCAATAGTGGACTCGACCCGGTCGGCCCCCGCCTCGCTCAGCCGCACGCAATGCCCATCCAACTACCGACGACCGTCAAAAAGGACCCTGCAATACTACCATAACCTCTTTCTTTCCTTCACTCTCATTCGTTATTGTCGCCTTTGCTATCTACTCCATGCAACGATGACACCGAAGGGTACTGCTGGACTTTCTTTCTCCGCAGACTTACCCACACTAACCTTACTGTTCGCCGACCTCCAACTTCTCGCGACATAGTCATCACCCCTACTCAACTTCCAACCCCCGGCTCCCTACTTCACTCACGACCATAGAACCAGATGGTCGAGACTGTTCAAGAACCTCGCCAGCTCATTCCCGCATACCCCCGCTTCTGATCTATCACCTAGGTAGCATTCTCTGACTCTTAAGTCTCCCGACCCTAGCCGCGAGCCCTCTTTCGAGCAGCAAGAAAACCTGCTTTATAGGATGCCCACCTCCACTCTGCGTAACCCCTCATTTACACTTCCACGGTGACTACATCTGCCATGTTCTCACGATGTCGGCCTCCCAGCTCAACGTCGATACCTCGTCCTCCCGCGGCAACCTCTTGACAGCGAGAAAATGCTGGCGCCGACATGTCCATGATGGCCTTTGTCCAGCCCGGCTGCCCGGCTAGGTTCGCCTACCAGAATGAGCATCGTGTCAAAGGGCTCAACGCAGAAACCCTAGCGAGGGTCTTCCTTCCCACGCCCTCATGGCTGTCGACTCCGGAGTATGCAGCAATCCGGTCAGATACTGGCAATCCATCGACCTGCATCTTCTTCAGCCTTAATATTTCCATATACAACCAACAGATAATCTCCTCGGAATGGACCGAACAATGGTTCTTCATGGTCGGCCGTGTTCATCCTTTGCCCTGACGTGGGAAATCGAGCGACGTGATGGCTTGGAGTCGGACGATGATAACATCACAGAATACACCGTCCCCGCGCTTATAGTCCGCGATCACAGCTACCAACCGTGAGTCTATGCTCCAAATCTCTCTGTCGCCACTGCCCTCCCTGACGATATCCATAGAATTGTCACTCGCACCTCAGCTCGGTGGATACTTTCCCAACGATACAACCCATTGTCTCCTTCACGGGACCTGTCATCGGCTCCGGCCGCGACCTCCTGCATGGAAACTCGGCTGCGGCCCTTGACGACACCCAGCTGAGCTGCTGCGGCTTTGTCCAGCTCTCCACCTTTATTTGTCCTGGGATTCCCGGCAAACCCCTTCAAGGGCTTTCACCCTTCCAAGTTTTCGTCATCTTCCCCATTCACGCTAATCCTTGACCTCCCTATGCAAGAAGATGACCGAGAGGCGCGACAGCCAGTTCCAGTCGAACACTCTCTTCACCTGTACGGGCAAAATCGCCGGCTTACTGGATCACCAGATCATGAAACATGCCCCGGCTTTCGACCAAGACTATATCTTCATCGTCGTCCCCGACACGTGGACTTTCCACGACAAGGCCATGTCCGACCAGGCTTCTGCAACACAACTACTGCCGACGACACCCAAGAGCGCGGTCGGCAATCCTCGGACTATAGCGTTGCGTTGGCCAGGTTTACCTCTACGAAGAAACCCAAGGCCGCCCAAAGCCCCGCCTCCCCCACGCCGCATGCTTCTGGCCCAGTCGATCCCCTTATGCTGGCATCAAGTCGGTCATTGCCCGATCCCTACCAAACCCCAACCAAGAGACCGCGACTTTCTCCCGAAACTTCCACCATAATCACCGACTGTGACGGTCAAGACTCCCAAATCCGATACCTCCTCCTTTCTGTCCCCGGAAGACCCGCAGAGTCAGAGACGGACACCGAACAGGTCAATCACCAAGACACATCCGCCTCTGGCTCTATCAGACCTCCCGCGTCGATATCTTCCTGACCACTGCGCGCCCGACGTCCGCCCAAGAATATTCTCTAAACTTTAAAGCATCAAACGAAACAATACAACATGACAACATGTCTCATCATCCTCAAAATCAACTGCCAAAGGCTCGAATAGCACATTCTCTTCTCTTCTTGTTCTCCTTTTCATGAAGACGATCAAGTCAAAACTTCCCAATATACTCCTTATTCTGTTTATACCTACGACTTATACCGGTAGCACATGTAAATTTTCCGAGCCTTCCACTCGCCCAGACATGCATTACCCACTCACATCTCTCTTCAACCCTGCCGTCTCTCCACGCCCTTTGAGTTTGCGCCTTTTAAACAAAATCTCCTCCAGCGGCCTAGCCTGCCTCCCTGACGCTCTGTCTCGGTTTCACTCACGATAATGCTCTACGTCTCTCGCCGTGTCTCGTATCTCGACCTCACTCTTCTTCCTGTCTCCAATCTACTGTCGCCAACTCTCTCTCTCTGTAGCCAACTCTTCTCCGGTTCTCTTGTCGCCAAATTTCGTTCCGAAAGGCTTCTTTGCGCGAGCCGCGGCTGGCGAGCCTTCCTCTCGTGCCTTGAGGAACGAAAGGACTTATGCCCCGCGCCGCCTCCCGACCTTTTTGGCCCCCCGGAATCCCCGCCTCTGATTGGCCGGCTTTCCCCTCCCCCCCGTATCCCGGCTTCTGGTTGGTCCACCTTGGCGCGTCCTGCCCCATTAGTCGACAATTTGCCTCTTCCGTCTTTTGGCCTCCTCGCCCTCCTCGTTCGACCGTTCCCGCCCCGACCTTGACGACCTCAAATCTTGTGTCTGCGGAAGGCTTCCCCTTCCTCCGCGGCCTCGACCTCGTCGCCGAGCCAGCGCAGCGCCTCCCGGACGGTCCTGTCGCTTAGCCCTCCAGCCTCGCCTGTGCTGCGGTCATCTCCCGGGGACCCGGTTTCCCACCAGGTCCCTCTCCGCACCTTCGACACGAGCATGATGCCGTCCAGCGTCGGGCACCGCGATAGCTGCACGTACAGGCTGTACGGGTCGCACTGCGACGGGACGGCGCGTCCGCCGACGTTGGTCGTCCTCGTGCCCCGCAACTCGAGCGCCACGCGCTCCAGCGTTCCCCTGCACCTTGTAGTCCGTGCACGCGAAGGCGGCGGCGCACGGCAGGCCCTGCGGCTGACGTCGTTCTGCTGCCACGGTCGCTTCCGCTGACGCTGGATCCTGACGCTCGCGGGCGTCAGCAGGATCGTGCCGGGCGGCATTCCGACGAAGTGGAAGTCCTTGGTCGTCTCCGACCCCAGTATGATTGCCGCCGGCGGCCCGAAGTGGATCGCCATGCCGGCCGAGATGCGATGCCCGGGTGCGCCTTGTCGACGATGACCTCCGCCGCCGTGTAGCTGGCGCCGTTCACCAGCTTCAGGCCCTGGTGGGTGTTGCGGTTCACGACGACCGGCATCCCCGGCACGAACATGAAGACGGCCGGCACCGGGATCGCGCTGTCGTCGCCCTGGTTCAGCATCATGATGGCCTCTTCCTCGGTCGGCAGGCCGTCCTTCCACTTGTGCTCGGAGAGGAAGATGCGCAGCGTCGACCGCCGCTGGGTCTGGAACGTCAGGCTCGCCTCCATGTTGAGGTTCTCCGCTGGAACCATCTTGCTCGGATCAACTGGCGGCTTCGGTTGAAGCGCCTTTTCTATGTCTGCCAAGCTGATCGCTTGTATCGAGAACGCGTCGCACGTCTGGCGTCTCTTTGCACGCCGGCACTCTGCCGTGAACACGGCTGCCGACACAAGTCTTGCGCTTCGAATTGCGCGTACTTTGGCGGGCTCTTCCTGCCCCACGAGGCGTATCGTCACGCCTGCTCTTCCGTGGTACACTTGCCGCTTAGCAGCGTCGTACACGACCTGGTTCCTCTCCATCCAAGGCCGGCCAAGGAACATATCCTGGCCGAGGCTTGGGACGACGTACGCAAAGGTGCGTTCGTCAAAACCGGCGGTCTCCACAACGACAGCCACAACTCCCGGCGACGTGACACTTTCTGAGGACTCGAGAATCCCCGATCTCTCGAGGCTTCGAATCAACGAGAGGGATCCGAAACTTCCGGACGACCGCTTCGTCAATCACGGCATAGCAGTCACATCCACTATCGACTAGGACGCGTATCGGATTGCCTCTGTTGAGCCGTGCGTTAACGAGCACGGGTCGACTATTCATACGCGGCTTGAACGCCTCCCAGTCTTGGACATCTGCCTTCGAAGGCCCCGGCGCCCGCTTTCGCACCGGGGCTAGTCTTTTCCCATCGGCTCGTCATCCCCATTGGATGTTGCGGCCGACTCCGAATCATCGCTAGCATCCGGCTGCTTCACCCGGGCGGCTCCTGACCGTTTTTTCTTCGCTTCGCCAGGAAAGACCAAATGAGCTGGGCATTCCGCGACGAGATGACCCTTCCGGCCGCATCGGTAACAGCGGCGCTCGTTCTTGGGCGCCGCATCTGCGTTGCGACGTTTCTTCGGCTCGTGACTTGTACGGCTGACATCTGCCATCTTGGTATCTCCGTCTGCGTCGCGGCCTCGACTATCATGGGTTGCACCACCGCTTCGAAGGGCGTTCCTTTCTCTACATTCTAGACCTGAGGACAGCCTTTGAAGAGATTGGACCCATTCCGAGTACGTGGAGCGAGTGGGCGCCGCGTAGACAGTTGCCAGTCGCAACCCGGACTCAGGGCGCCCTCCAGGTAGCTGATTTTGACTTCTTCCGCCAGGTGGCGCCGCCGGAATCAGCGAGTTCTTTCTCGAAGCGAGGGAGCAGTGTCGCAAAGCTTTCCTTGTCTCTTTGCCTCAAGGATCGCAATTTGTCCAGCGCGCGAGTCCTGGCGTTCGGGTCCCCGTAGCACTCTTCCAAATATTGGAGGTACTGGTCCGGATCTGAGTCTCCACCCTTCCTCCGGCTTCTACATACGCGATCGTCATTTGCTGAGGGGCACCCCTAGTCGCGCGTAAATGTAGGCGAACTGGTCCGCCTTATTCCCAATTACCCTTCCGTCTACACGAAGCTTGTTCTTCATCTCGCTCAGCCAAGCGCGAAACTTGATCGAACGCCCTCGAATCGCGGTGGGTCTGGGAGAGTCGGCCTAGTCTTCCGCAATGGTGTGTCGACCAAACGATTCAGTTCATGCAGAGGTTCCGCTCTGCTCTCCGACTCGGTCCCCAAGAGCGTTGGTCTCGAGGTCGTCAGACTGTCTTGCAGCAGTTGAATCTGCTCGCGCGTGGCGTCGCGATCGGCATCGCGGTCGGCACGCAAACCTTGCATCTGTTCAGCCATCTGGCTCATCATCTGCATGACGAGCTGGGAGGTTCGCCCGGGAGCTCCCGTCTGCAAGGGTTGAGTCCATCGGTAGTGAGCTCTAGATATGTAAGAGGCTGGCCCGGAGTTTACTCAACAAGCAGGTGCCTATGTGTTGTCTATCTAGAGCTAAAGAGGAAAGGAAGCTGAACTCGAGGCGAAGCCTCGAGTCCGAGCTTATATCGCCTCTTATAGAATGTTCTCGCACCTGGGCCCGCGAAGCGGGGCCGGTGTTTCCATCCGAGCATGATCCACCGGACCCGGTACAACCGGGTCCACCTGCCGGGCACAGCCCGTGACAAGTGGCGATGTTACTCGTAACGCCGCTGTTGCCTGCTAGGCAACCGATACTGCGTAATCACGCGACGGACCTTTCATTTGTGTATAAAGAGCTGCACAACCCCGTGCGTTCGTTCGTTCACTTCTTGTTCTTCAGATAATTCTCATTCAATTGCCTGATGCCATCTCTGACCCATGTGGAGCCAAAATGTCTGACACCCCGCATGTCTAAAATAAGCGTCGATGCTAGTACCTTGTAAGACAGGCAGCAAGAGCACCTAGCCGAGCAGAGTCTCCGCACGTTGGCTTCGGCTTCGCATTCACGCGCAAGGTTATCCACCTGGCAGTTGCCACTAACCGCTAAGTGCCGGCTCGCAAGGCGCCGGTAACGACCACGCCGTTGCCAGTAATCGCTCGGTTGCGAGTTCCTGTCAACCAGGGGCTGCCAGTAACCTATGGGCGTCGGTTGTCGGTACCTCAAAGGGACCGGTAACCTCCGGGCGCTTAGCCATACGCTGCTAGTAACACCCATGAGAGGTGCCAGTAACCATTGTGGAGCAGAGTTCGGTCACCAGTACCATGCCCCACCCCTTTCGGTAACACCCACCTTCGGTAGCGCATTAGAAAATATCCCCACCAAAACCATCAATTTCACTTACACCGATTCCAGCCAGCTTTGAAGATATTCACAAGCCGTCACTTGGAGTAGATAGAGGATTGATTGAATTCTACTTTTCGATGGTTGAATGTTTGTACAAGGGTCTGTGGCCTGTGCGTACCTTGCACGCGAAATTACCATCCAACCAGGCTTTCTAATCATACGCGTATGGTTTATATAAACCATATATTGCCCATATATTGCCAGTAAACCTATACCATACGAGATCAGTCGTATGACCATATATGGCCATACGCGGGGAAAGTTCCTCCGAGGTTACAATTTCGGCGAAGAAAGATCATTCGGCGATTGATGGTTGCATGCCAACATCTCCCGAGAAATATATCGGAACTACAGCAACATACTCTGTTGTTCTATTGACGTTCGGGGAAGATTCCACAATGAAAAAGACCGAAATGACTAACTGCTCTGTGTGTATTCATCGTTACGGTAGAAATGAGTAAAGATCGCGCGACATTACAGATCATGCCTCTAATCTCGCCGAAGAAGAACAAAAATCTCAGATCAGTATCGCTCAAGCGGTTCTAGGGTAACCGACGTCACATTGGACGTCACCTCCCAGAATCCCGCATAGGCAGATCGGAATAAATTGAGCTACTAAAGACCTTGAGATATCCAGTTAGCACCTAACATTCTTCGTCACTCAGGGTTTCATGCCATTATTCATCCGGCTTTGTGCCGTTTGCGACTCTGATGACGAGTCCACCCATCTTCCGCGGGCCAGCTGACGATGACAGTTTCGTATCCGCCACAGCCATAGAGGCCTCTGGGATCCAAGACGCACAAGGCTTAGCATCGTTCGAACCTAGTACCGCGACAACTTCCAAGCGCAAAAGAATGACCACAGCGGATGCCACTTGGCAACACACACGGAAACCTCAGGATCCGAGCCTGAGCGTTGTGGGCCAAAACGGGATTTGGTGTTCTACTGCAAGTATTGCAATAACCCGTCCTATTCGACTTACGTCTCTACCACATTTCGCAACCATCTGCTGAAGATACACACGATAGACGTCGCTGGTCTTGAGTCAACCCTGGCCAAGAAAACATGTCATAACCTTCTGAAAGACGCTTTCAACAAAGCCGGAGAGGTTGATCTTGTCAAGTTTCAGGAAAGAGAAGAGCAGGTTTTGCGAAAGGCAATCAATCCGAAGGCCGCAATGGAAGCTTTGGTTCAGCTTGTCACCGTGCGAAACCTCCCATATAACTGCAATACCTGGCCTGAGTTGCATGCTTTGCTCATGGCAGCGAATTCCACTGCGGAAGGGCTGATCAGCACCTCACATGGCCACATTCAAAAGCTTTGCATGAACTCCTATGCAATCCATAAAGATATCTTACGAAAACGGCTTCAATCTTCGCCCTCCAAGCTTCACCTCTCTGCCGACGTATGGAGCGCGCCGAATCACAAAGGTTTCTCGGAATATGTGTCCAGTTCATGCAGGACGACCAAAGAAACCCTTCTCAAGCATTGCTGGCTTTACCTGAGCTTCCTGGCATCGATGGTCCCGGTAGTCACGGTGGAGGTGAACAATGGAAGCTGCTTCAACCAGTCATTGAGGACTACGGCATATCAAGTCTGCTAGGTACTTCACAGGAGACAACCACGGTTCCAATGATGTGCTTTGCCGCCTGATGAGCAGCTTTCTAGAGAGTCAAGGCATCGCATGGAATGCAAAGCATCGACGGATCCGCTGCCATGGCCATGTGGTCAATCTTTGCGTCCAGGCTTTTCTTTCATGGACAACAAAGAGGCCGTACTCGAGGCATGTAGACAGATTGAGGAGATGGATGAAGCGCCGTGCGACTTGGACATGATGCAAGGGTGGAAGAAGCGGAAGGAACGTGGCTGGAGCCAACTTGGTCCGCTCGGCAAGGTGCATAATATTGCGGTTCATATCAGAGCCAACGATTACAGGTACAACACTTTCCGTCAGCGCGCAGGGAAGGTTCTCGGCTCGACAACGACACACGCTGGAACTCTTGGTTCCTCCTACTGGATACTGCTCTGAAAAGGAGGAACACGTCAAGTGGTATTAAGACAAACACTACGAGACACTTGTCAATGACTATCTGGCACCTCGAGACTGGCAAGCCCTTCGAGATATAAGAAACTTCTTGCAGCCATTCTGGAGAATAACACTTACTGAGGGCTATCGCTCAACACTAGACCGCACGCTCTTCACGATGGATGTCCTTCATAAACACTACCAGCAAGCTAAGAAAGACAAGCTCAATCAACAACTTCTCGGCCCGGTGCTGACCAGCTGGCACGTTTTCGACAAATATTATCGGCTTTCTGACGAGACCCCGGCATACGGTGCAGCCCTGATTCTTCATCCGTCTCGAGGAAAGGCTCATATTGAGAAAAACTGGCCCAAGTCATGGCATAAAAGAACCTTCGACGCAGTGAGAAAGCTCTGGGAAGAAGAGTACATGGATCTGCCGACAATTTCTGTCACGCCTTCCAAGGTTTCAGTACTGCAACAGGACGAGTACGACTTACTCGCACAGGAACTCGATGTCATAGGCAAGGGACCAGACGCAGACGAGTACGAAGCCTTCACATCGCAGTCGCCTATTCAGATTGACGGTTCACCACTTTCCTGGTGGCATCGTGATGAACACCGTGAACGTTTCCCGGTTGTCCAAGATGGCGATAGACATACTCTCAATACCCGCCATGTCTGCGGACCCAGAGCGCACATTCTCAGGCGCAAGGCGCACTATCTCTTGGGATCGAATGCTTCTCGGAGCATCGACAGTCGAGAGAGGAGAGTGCCTGAAAAGCTGGATCCGCAGCGGCATCACGGCAGGGTTACGAATAGAGGAGGTTGAGCAATACGGGTCCGAGTCGGCCGAAGAGTGCAGTAATAACACCCTTGGGCACGGGAAGTATGACCCAATGACGTCATTTCTTGTATGGGCAATATATGGTTTAGTTCACCATATGAAAATAAATCATACACCATAAACCATACAGGTCCATATGACGTATGGCGTATGGTTAGAAAGCCTGCATCCAACCCCCTAATCTCCTTCCGCCTCCTGACGATGATTCTTCTCGTTATTCCTCCACCACATGACCAAAATTACCTTAAAGCGGCCTCGGAGTATTTATACGGAGGATATTATGCCTAATGCGATAATTGGTGTCACAGGTCCCGGGGCCGGCTGACCGGTCATCCGGTAATCGGATTACCGCCCCGCCCCACGCAAAACCATGTCGTTTTCGAAGGCCCGGCCCTGCGGGGCTGGCGTTTTCTTAGTCGGATTACCGCCATCGGACGGCAAAATCGAAGGTCCACGCCCGCGGGCCCTGCGCGAGACCTTCGATTTCGGTCTCGCTCACGCGCGTTGCGCTCCACCTCCTCCCACCTCCTCCACCACCTCCTCCATTGCCACCGTCGCGACGGCGACCGCCTGCACCATGTCGAACGCGATAGAGGATCCCCGGGTCAGGGCGGCCATTGAGCACTACCTGTTAGATCTGGAGAACACCCAGCCGAAGAATACGAAGCGAAATTATCGTCCCAAGCAGGAAGAATGGAAGGCAAGCCCGCATGCGCGCCCTGCAATCTTCATGTAGATCCATGCATTGACTGCCTCACAGGAGTGGTGTCAAGCCAACTGGCCTGCGATCCCGGACGTTTGGCCGGCCTCGGTACCACAGGGCCAACAGCTACCGGGAGACCTGGTCGATGAAGGAAAGCTCTTGCTCTTCATGAAGGAGGTAGTGGCATCACGTCCTCCAAAGAAAGGAAAGAGGGTCGCCGATGAAAGAAAACGACACCTCGAGGCTCAGGAAGCCAAGAGGGCCGTGAAAGACGCAGAGCACCATCAGGTAACAGATGTTGATCACGGGATGTGGTCGTCGGACTGAGCCAGCCCATCATACTAACACCCAGCTTCCCCAGCAGATACCATCGTTGTAGGCGGCGGAGGTAGCGAATACGAGTCAGACTCCGACTTGGAGTTGTATGAGTCCACGCTCAAACTACAGTATAATACTGTACGGGGCTACGTCTCGGCCATACAGAAGCTTTACGACGAGCAGAAGAGCCGGGAGTCAATCCTGCGGCCCGGCCACAGGAGTGGCACTGAAGGCGCTCAAACGCAGCATTCTTGCAACGACTTGGAGCCGGAAGAGGAAGGAATACATGGACAGGGAGTTGGAACTCTGAGAGATGTGTATGCGCCGGCGCAGATACCCGACCACACCAACGTGGCATGGTCCGAGAGAGAGATCGCCTGCGCCCTGAGGACGCAGGTGGACTTTCTGCTCGGGAACCACATGCTGCTGCGGTCCGGCAACCGCCTGCCGATGGAGTTGGCAGACTGCTTTCCCTGGACTTACCCAACGAGGGCTTCAAGGCCCAGGGGTATACCACGAAGGCGCTGGTTGTCGTGATGAACTGTGGAAGACCAACCAGCACGGCCGCATGGAGTATGGATCTGCTTTGCGGCATCGAGATCCGCGATCTTGTCTCATCGGCGCCCTCGCGTTCTGGCTTTTCTGGCGCTGGCAGGTAGAAAAGGCGGAAAGGTTTCCGTCTTCCAAAGAAGCGAAGACTGGTATGAAACGAAGGTGCTCCGCCGATCGGCGAAGGAGCCTCAAGGTAAGCGTGATGGCATTCACCGGAATCCCATAACTCAGAGGGTGCATCGACCCTTTCACTCACCGAATATACAGCTCCGTTGTCGGGCCAGACTGCCCGAGAATGGACGTCCAGGTTCTACAAGAAGGCCGGCATCAAGGTCTCCAAGGTCAGCCACGCGCCTAGAGTGGCCGCGACGCAAAACGCCGACATGGCCGGAGTGGATGAAGGCCAGGCATGTCATCTGCCCTAGGCAAGCCGCCAACCCCTGGCCTGGGCTGACCTGAACTATACAGATCCGCCGAGCCGGTCGTTGGAATAACGGAGACCAAATGACCGGCTGCTATCTGACTTCCTGCCTTTCGAATTCATGAGGGCCGTGGCCGACTTTGACCCTGAATGGTCGGGGTCTTATTTCGTGCCCGGGCCACCGTGAGGCCGCCTGTGGTGCTACTCGTGCAGGTCTGGCCTCAACTCGACAAATGGAAAGAGGCCCACAGTAGCCCTTTCTCAGATCTCGGGTGGAGCAGAACATGGCCGCCGGCGCCTTCTTGGAACTCCTGGAGTGGCTTCGAGAGGTGCTCCTGCAGGACGCTGTCTTCCTTCGCGAGTCCTACCCCGACCATCCTATCTTTCAGGATCCGGTCTTCTTGCCCTGAGTTTGAAGCGTTCGCCAGCAAAGTTCAAGACACATGCACACGGGACCACGAAGACAGCCATACCACGGTCATTCAAAAGCGATCCCGGTGGTTGCGGAGAAGCTGCGCACAGTACTGACTCAACAGGTCGCAGCCGAGCAGTTAGCTGAGCGAAGACATCTAGACCTTTGGGGCTTCTTACGAACTATGCACAAAGTTGGATGAGTTTGCGCAGGCCACCTACACCGTCACCTTCAGCCCCGGCCAAGGTGCTGCAGGTCAACATGCGGAGATCGCGGAGCTCATCAACAGAGGCGCCGCGCTCCACGAGAGACGGTCCTCAGGTCCGAGATAGGCCCTTCGCAAGCGGGCGGTCCGACATACGCTCCGCTCTCTAGAGCAGCAGCAGGGAATGGTGCAAGCGGGCCAGGGCAAGCCCCCAGGAAGAGCGCATGGCGAGCCGCCTGGGCCGCGCGAACCTCCGAGCTTCAAGCTCCCCGTTCTGTCAAATCTGTACAGGAGCTGCTGCGTCTCTGGCGGCAGGGCTGGGGCGAAATGCCTTCTGTGGATTCTCTGAGCGAGACTGGGGTGCTCGATGGCGGCCATCTGCAGAGAAGAATTACCTTTCCACGCGCAAGATCATCGTCGATGAGGTTCGGAGGCGGGCCCAGTCGGACGGCTTAACTGAAGATATCGTGGCGAGGCAAATGGACGAAGAACGTGGACCCAGCTCTTGGATAAGTTGTTCAAGGCCATCCGAAAGGACAGGCAAGGCGAAAAAGGGACACAAACGTGCGTCGGGGCAATTCAACGTCGGTGGTAGCGAAAAGTCGATGGCGCAGTGATTTTGAACACCCGTCTGATAGAATGACGAGGACCTTGGCGGCGAAAGTGCCCCAGGCCGTCAGGGCTGCGTCGCTACAGTCAGCGGTAGTGGCCTGTAGACAGGGTATGCATCCGCTAAGCGCCGCTGTAGCTCCAGTGCGTCAAGGCTAGAAAATGCTTCAAATCACCGCAACCTCGCAACCGACAGGATGTAGGACCTTAGACAGGGTGCATTCTGATCGCACAAACGCAGGCTATCCAGTCGAACTGGTTTTCTCGTCGTCGGTCCCGGCTTTCGCGCTTTATGGCGCTCCGAAGATGACATCAACCCGTCAGAGGTGATGTCAAGGGCAAGCGGTAATCGGCGGTAATCTGCGGGTAATCCGCTGACCGCCCACCAAAGCCGGACCTGTGACATCCACTTGATGTCACAAAAAACGGCTTGTCGCAGTACCGCGCCGCCCAAAAGTATGACATACCTCAGCAGTCTATTTCCGACAGACTCAAAGGCCAGGTAGCCCTGGCTGATCAGATCCAGCCTCGTCAACTCTTGAGTAAGTCTCAGGAAGCTCTTCTGGTGTTCTGGATCCTCCGTCAAGAGTCTCTCGGCTATGCTCCATCCCACAGTCAGATCCGCGCATGTGTGAGGCTCTTATGAAGCAACTGAACAACGAGCGGACAGTGGGGCGCAACTGGGTCTCTAAATTCATCAATCGCCATCCGGACATCAAGAACAAGCGTGGGAGACGTCAGGAAGCTAACCGATTTAATGCTTTTACGCCTCGGGCGGTTCACTGGTTCTTCGATATCAGGGAAAAGGAGTATGGATGGATTAAACCAGAAAATACCGTGAATGTTGACGAAGGCGGTATTATGTCTGGCTTTGGTGAGTATTTGGCTTGTCTTTCATTACTTTTACTAACCAGACTCTTTTGCCAGGTTTGGATAGTCTTGTGGTTGGGAGTGCAGACCCAAAACGGAAGGCCCTTCTGAAAGGGCCACAGTCCCGCAACTGGACCTCATTTATTGAAGCTATCACCGCGGACGGCCGTGTCCTTACCCCTGGCATTATCTTTAAGGGCAAAGAACTTCAGAAACAGTGGTTCTTGACGGAATTCGGCAAAATAGCCGACTGGCATTACATAACGTCGCCCAACGGATGGACGGACAACCATATCGCTATTGAGTGGCTTGAGAGGGTCTATTTGCCCCAGACGCGACCAGCCGATGCCTCAGATGCTAGACTGATCATATTAGATGGACATGGAAGTCATGCAACGGTGCATTTCTTTATCCACCTCTGTAGGAATTACCGTTAACCGGGACCAGGATGCATGGATGGCCACATGCTTTTTGAACAACGTTTATTGCTGTTACCTTCCTGCCCACTGCTCTCATGGCCTCCAGCCGTTAGATAACGGTGTATTCAATGCCTCCAAGGCAGCTTACCGGAAAGAACTTCAGAAATTGACCTGTTTGACCGATTCTGCGCCTGTTCATAAGGTCAATTTTATACGGGCATATGCTAAAGCGCGCGAGGTTGGAATGACGGCAAAGAATATATTGTCCGGCTGGAGGGTCACTGGGAATTGGCCGATCTCACGATCCAAGGCATTGCGGCATCCAGAAATTCACGCAGACATTGTAGAGACGTCTCCAAAGTCCGCGCCATTTTGGGTTCTGATGATACGCCAAGAAACAGCCGCCAGATTCGCGATTTCGGAAAGAACAAGACTCCTGGCACCCGGAGACGATACGCCGTGATAGCTAGAGGCTTTGAAGCCAAGAACAGACGCTTGCCGAGCACAGCAACAGAATCGCGAAGCTAGAGGAAGAAGTGGCCCGGCTGCAGAGAGGCAAGAAGAGGAGAGCAATTCCGAACCCGAACAGACGGTTCATGACTCTCAGTGAAGCTTTGGTGGCTGAGGAAGCCATTCCCAAATTAAAAGCCAAGAGATAGCCGTTGTGCTGAATTCTGACACAGAGGAGGAGGCGGTCTCAGAGGTGGAGACAGCTTCAGTGATCGAAGTCAAGGTGGCACCTGAAGCCCTTCCAGTCACCACCAGATCCGGGCGAATGGTAAAAAGCGCCGGTACATATAAGAGCGTCCATTTCTCTACGGAATGATATTTTTTGTGTTTATAATGTTAAGTTCTGATCATATTTCATGTAGTTCAAATGGTAGACTTTTGGTGGAGAATTTTTCAATTGCGCTACCGAAAGGTGGGTGTTACCGAAAGGGGGCATGGTAACCAGTGTGACGTTGGGCGCCTGGGATTACTGGTTACCCAAGGTCAGCAATCTACAGGCGCCAGTCACCTTTAGGCTCTTGTTCCTGGTCGCTAGGTGCTGCTGGTAACCGCCCAGCCACAGTGCCAGCAACCATTCATGCGTTGTTGCTGGAATCTCGTAGTGGCCAGTAACCGTGCGTTCGCAGTTATCGCTCGCCTGTAGTGAAGGCTGTTTAGCAGCATGTGAACAGAAGCCGAGCCAACGAACACCGGAGTCCCAGCCCGGTTGCTTGCAATCATGATCACCAGGGCGGTTGCGAAAGCTCTGGTCAGATTCATGCCCCATTCAATGTATGCGCTAGGGTCAAGCGGTCCGATTGAGGGAAAAATTAGAGTGTCTTGTTTGCCTGAAACTTCACGTCCCGCCTGTTGGAAGCAGTAGGGCTTGAGCAGCAGGAACGGAAAAGATACGAAAGGCTATTCCACAACTTGCAAATGATCTCGTAGCAAGCCGCGTTTCTGCTACGAGCTCCAAACCCGTCTCTCTGCCGCTTCCTCTTATCCCGGATAACTGGAATAGCTGCTTGTGTTTGGGAGCTGGAAGGAGGTCGGCGCGGTCGAAGTCAACAAGCATGACGCGGCGGCGCTCGTCGTTCCAGAGCAGGTGCACCGCCGGTCGTCAACAGGGCAACGTTACACAAAGTCAGTCTACTTCGCACAGCTGTCGTAAATGGTGTTTCACCATCTGGGCTCATTTTCGGCCAGAATTGCAAGACTGTTAGCCGCGAGAGGTTGAATGCTGAAGCTAGATGTCGGCAGCCATATCCCGCCTCAGATGCATGACGTAGATAGAGCAGTGGTCGGGAAACCGGCTGCAAGTCAACCTCATCGCCCTCAAATTGTCCGCGGCATCACATCAGCTATCCACCAATGAAATCACCCTTATCGGTGCTCTCTGAGAACCGATGCAAGTGATAGGTTATCATTCCCAAGGCCATCGGCGTCCACACCTGGACGACCTCAAGCTTGCGCCTGCTCGTCTTGCAAGGTCCTGTCACGGGTGTTTGTATTTCATTGCCAGCTGCCCGTCATTTCCAGCCAAATCCTACATTGTTCGACAAATATCCCAAGATGACCTTACCTCCCAATGCAACTTGGCCAGGAAAGGCTGTCGAAGGCTTGAGTCGATTCTCACTCTATTTTCGATCTGTGGCGCTCTTCTCATTTCCGCTGCAAGCAGGCTGCAAGCGGGTCGGCAACCCGCCACAAGGCTCAAACGCGCTTTTTCGCAATTTAAATGACTCTCCTATAGCGCCCGTATCTCGAACATCTCATCCAACTTACCGATGGCCTCATCATAGGCGGCTATAATGGGCCTGTAAAGTTGGTCTGGGTCTCCTGCAGGTTCCAAAGCTCATCCTTTCGTCTTCGTCCAAGGAAAGAGAATCTTCCTGATCCTCAAACAGAGAGGCTTGACAATATCAAGCCGCTCTGGAAACTCGCCCATAATCCTTTCGAGACCATTCATAGTCATGTCACCCTCCTTTGCTTTCGCAATGTCCCTGAAGCTTCCAATTTCCCAATTGCGTAAGTCGCTCTCTCGGGCGGCTTCTCTTCACCACCAAACCCATTGCTCCATGAGTATCGCGCACACATCCAAAGCAAAACATAGAAAACGAC